AATTTGCAAAGAGAGACCCTCAACATGCTTACCTCAAAATTATGACGTTGATGCATCGTTTCATTGTAAACCATTTGCGATAATGAAAAGGCCTCCATACGGCGAATAGCTGAAAAAAATTTACGTGGAGATTAACTCCATATTGATTTTCTAACTAAACTGAGAAAGCAGCTTTGATTTTTGATGGGTACCGAATACAAATTTTCAAATACCTTTTCCTGCTTTTATTCACAAAAATTCTGATTTGCTTATTTTCGCAGCGCAAATGATTCTAATGGAAAGCAAACCTTTATCACAGAAAGGGCTACATAGGAAACCATGGCAGACCAGAAAGATCCTGTAAAAAATGTTTCCATAAGGGGGACCACATCGCGGCTGAAAAACAACATTTCCACACCTTTTGAATGCTACAAGAAAGTTTTAACTCACTTTATCTCTTTCCATAGTAATACGTATGCGCAAACGATCAAAGCTACTAGACAACTGAGAAGGTCTCCAATCGCTCGATTGAGTAGTAGTATATAGCATTTTCGACTAACGCGGCGAGCTTTTATCGCCTATAAAAACTAATTGAATAGTTCATATGCTTACAAAGAATCAAAATAAGAAAAACCTTACCTGATATGCTGTTATAATGAATAGCGTGACAAGTATAGCTCCAATGAGTGCGAATGGTAAGACAAGCCACCCGAAATATTTTCGATACACATTTTCGGTGCGAAGACTTTGTCGGCGCTGAAAATTTATTTTTGGTTTTGTATGAATGTTGGTTGATACTAAATTTTTAAACTTGAACTGCAAATTTGAATCTAATACTAATAATCTAATACAATCAAATCTGATACTCTCTTGTCGAGCGTTTGGCCTCTGCGCCACTTGCCTTCATCATTACAGCGCAGCGCATCTGGACGGCCTGGTTGAAGGCCTTTCGGTCGGGTCTCCAAGGTCTTTCGGCCTGGTTGAAGCGGCTGGCATCTATTTAAAAGCAACGTCATAAGCATAGAAAGACGGAGCAATCTAGGCGTCGCGTTTTTTGGCTTCGGTTTATATCATAGGAAAGTATTAGTATCAAGAAAAATTGATAACACAATGTTGTGAAAAAAATTCCAAAAATCAGAGCATGCCTACTAGAGATTCCCATAGTGTGTGATAGCTTCTTGAATCAAACAGCGCTTCTTATTTCAGCTGTTGTAAGTGCAATGAGATTTTGATAACTTGCAATGCAATTTTTTTCCAAAACTTGATGAAGAAACTGAAGCTTACTCCAGCTATAGCACTAAAAAGATTTTATTTATGAAGCGCAAATCAGTGTGATACAGCATCTCTTAAAGAAGAGACTAGAAAAGCATATGTACTTACCTACCGTTTTTAGAGTAACTTCGGGACTACATTTACAACAGCTCTGGTTTGCTCTGATTGCTGGGCATGCTGGCTCGCATGCCTTGCTCGCATTCTTCCAATTTCAAAGAAACGGCATT